ATGCCTATAACCAAGGTCAGACTGGAACCAATATTGTACCCTCGGTAAGTCGATGCGTACTTGTCATCTGCTTCAACTCTTTCCACTGAGATGTATGTGTGGTCATGAGGTTTCGGGGGTGGATGCTGATGCTCTAAAATGAATAATTGATAGTTATAAAAATATTGCTTCCTATAATTGCCATATTTTATCCTTGGTTCAATTCGTAATTATCTTACTTTTTATTAAAAAAAGTTTTCTATTACATCTGAAGGATTTAAAGTTCTACGCCAATTTCATATGGGGCCAACCCTGCAAACATTGACAATCTGTAAACCATGCCACCCTAGAGCACTTTAGAAGCAAAACCTGACTATAGTAGGTGTCAGATCAGTATTAGCCAAAAGCTTTACCTTTGCTCCAGATTGGTCGCACAGGCAAGGTAAAATTACTATCAGTTGACTCCCGATAACTCGAACCCTCGCTAACTCGAACCAAAATCGATTCCCTGTTGATTTCCTGTTCTAGATCTATTATATCCTGAGAAAACAGCTGACATTTTGCAATGCCACAATTGTGGTTTCCCCACCAAATAACATCTGAGAAATGACCACACCATGCAGCCTGATGAAGCATCACTGCCCAGATCTGAGTAGTGCTTCTGAGTGGATGAAGCAAATTTTCAACCAATCAGAGGCACTAGTCCCAGACTTGAATAGTGAACCATCATCAGTATGGAATTTCTGCTGTTGTTTCTCAGACATCATTTTGCAGGGAAACCACCCACATAATAAGTAAAACAAAAATATATCTTGAAGGATAAAACTGAAAGATGATCAACAACACATATTAAGCTTTAGCTTGACACAAATGATATAAAGCAGAGCTATAGTAACTTTGGAAAAAACTAACCTGAGTCAATACATATTATGATCTGAAGTCCTCTAGTTTTACTGAGTTTCACGCTACTGTCATCTGTAGGCTAAATAAATTGAATAAATTATACAATTAAATTTAAGTCCATGTTACATTTTGCAATGACGACGATAAAGGTAAGCGGAGAGGGTACAAGTCAGAACATTTCACCCCAGGCAAGTATAACTACCGGAGAGGGTGTCTCTTATTCCACCTTCCTTAACCTCTTAAACCCTAAGATCAAAATTTGAATTCTCATTTGTTGCCCCTATTCTTTTCCTACTGAAATAAAGGGGAGAAGTTGTTAAAATATCAAGCAAATTCTTCTTGTGTGATCATGTCCATAATTCTCATGACCACTCTGTTTTACAAAGCATCCATATTACAAGGAGAAATTTGATGATGATCACTCTTAGGGCTTAAAGGGTTTATAATACAGGGCTTGAAAAAAAATCCCATCCGGTAGTCCAGACAAGTACATTTTCTTGCTGGGAAAGTAACTTTTAAAACTGTCTTGAAACCCAATGGGCAAGGTTCCTGACAAGTTCTAAGCTAGACAAGCAGGAAGTGGCCCTGCACAAGCAAACTGTGGGAGCTGCTTGCCCAAAGGACAGCTTAGGTGGAACTGAAGTTTCTTTTGAGTTTTTTCTGTGGCTTCAGAATCAAGGTACTTTGTGATAATTAATACAAGTACATTGTACATGGGCCCTTGTTTCCTGCGTGTAAATACATGTTCTTATGAGGAATAATTCAAAAAACATACAACTTCATGTGAGATAATAATACAGTCTTAAAAAATATATCAACACATTTGACGAAAGGCCTAGTTTAGGCTTTGTTTACTTGGCATCATACCAAACGAATTTTCAACCAGCTGATAAATTTGACCGGACTTTCTTCACATGGACCATTCAACATTTTTGCTCTGTTCATAAGTAACTTGGCGATTTCATGCACAAATTTTCAATCAGTCGAAAATTCGTCTGGTGTTGTGCGAATGTAACATGAAGTGTAGTTTTTTTTTTTTTTAGATTTTCCAATTTGGTAGGATCACCACAACAGTATAAATCCAATATTACTGCAGGCTCATAACAGTCCCCTAACCCTTGAGATGGACCATTTTCAAACAGGTGTGTGGGTTCTTTAATCAAAAAAATTGATAAGAAAGGATGAAGGAGACAAGGCCCACGATTTGACCTCACCGCTCAATAATGTGATCATCTGAACTGAGAAAAATAATCTTACAGTCAAGGCAGGTCAAGCATACCCCTCAACATTCTAATAATGAATTGATTATTTGAAAAATGAATCCGTTACTCGTTCCCGTAACTGATGTCAAATTCAAAGCGGCATTCGTGCATGCGTAATGAGCAGTGAATATTTTACGAGAATTTCTCTGTATTTGGTCAGATTGAAAATCTTTGAATGGATTAAGCTTCTTAGAAGACATTAATTTTACATCAAATTCAGGAAAACTGAGCTGGTAGAAATTTCCTAANTGCATGCGTAATGAGCAGTGAATATTTTACGAGAATTTCTCTGTATTTGGTCAGATTGAAAATCTTTGAATGGATTAAGCTTCTTAGAAGACATTAATTTTACATCAAATTCAGGAAAACTGAGCTGGTAGAAATTTCCTAATTGCCTTGCGTGTGAATTCACAGCTCATTGCACATGCAAGAATGCAGAGATCAATCTAAACTCTACAACTAGCAACGGATTCAACTTTCGAATAATAAATTCATTAATGGCTTCTTGGGGGGTATGCTTCACCTGGCTTGACTATAATTACTGCAATGCAAGTAAATCATCAATGACTTTAAATTACCGAAGCATGATTTCAAGAACAGCCTGGAAACCATTAGCTTAAAACTAGCCACTCTCACATAATTTATGCTACAATCCTAGTATAGTGCATTTACATAAGGCAAATGGGTGAGGAAATTACAGTCAAACCAGGTCAAGCGTACCCCCCAAGAATACATTAATGAATTTATTATTCAAAAGTTGAATCCATTGCTAGTTGTAGATTTCAGATTGATCTCTGCATTCTTGCATGTGTAATGAGCCGTGAATTCACACACAAGGCAGTTATGAAATTTCTACCAGCTCCATTTTCCTGAAATTGATGTAAATGTCTTCTGAGAAGCTTAATCCATTCAAAGATTTCCAATCTGACCAAATACAGAGAAGTTCTCGTAAAATATTCACTGCTCATTACGCATGCAGGAATGCTGCTTTGAATTTGACACCAGTTACGGGGACAACTAACGGATTCATTTTTCAAATAATCAATTCATTAATAGAATCTTGGGGGGTACGCTTGACTTGGGTTGACTGTAAACACTACAGAAACTGGTGACTAAAAGAAAGACTGTTGGACAGTTTTCCATCTCCCTTTAATCCCCAAGTTGTCTATCTCTTCAACTAACATACATAAACTAGAGCTATTACATATACTTATAAATGGCTACAGTCACCAGCATAATGCATTATTATACTGCAAAACAAGAACAAGTGACTCACGGACAAGCCATGATTAGCATATGTCTGCAGATAAATGAGAAAAAATCCTCATTTAAGCAAATGAAATTATAAAATCGAGTAAATTAAGTACAGTTAAGTCTTCTTGTACTAAAAAAGTGCAAACTAAGCCACTTTAATATTAGCGACATATAGAGTGAATCATTTACAATAAATTATTTGGTGGTTAAAATTCAGCTATATGCTAAGAATGGGGAATTTTTTATCAACATTTATGGAGAAAAGGCCATTGCTAAAATGTTGGAGACCTGTCACGTCATGTGTTGCAAAGAAATGCCAATTGTTGGGTTCTCCAGGGTGCCAAATTGGGTTAACTGTCTTGTCTATAATGATAACTTTTTTTCGGCTGTCATAATAGTATACATTAACATTAACAAAATAAAACTATCTTATAAACAGGTGTCTCTTTTGTAGGGTAAAGGCCAATTTTACAGAAGTGAAAAGTTCTAACATTTTCTGGGAAGAATGGAAAATTTTAAATTTGTAAACAAAAACAGTTTTAGTAACTTCTGACTTCTAAAAAGATTTTCCATTTTTCCTGTCTACTGCATGTGGTTATACTTGATATTGTGAAAAGCTGTTCGTCTCCCTGAGTATGAAACGGCGTTCGGAACTGATAATACACTTACTGTGTATTCATTTATTAAACTCCGACTATGTAAAAGTTCCTTTTTTGCTGTCTGCTCACTAAAAAGGTCTCTTCTAAGTTGAAACTGTTCACTAACTAGAGGTATACCCCATTAACAACCCCCTTACCATACAATGGCAATACAGCACACGTACACACGGACTTCCCGTAGTGCACGTAAACGTCATGCGAGCTTCATGCGCAGTAAACAAATCGCGCGTCTTGTACGTAGCAAATACGATCATGTATTAAAAAGGCATAGTCAGTGTATTACTTAACGCGTGTCTTATTTTTTCTTTGAACAAATCGCAGTACATTTGTGCTACTGGAAAACGGACTAGACATCCTGTCAGTTAAGTTTGCTATGCGTACCTCTGTATCTTAAGCTAATTCAGCTCATATTAAGACCTTACTTTGCCATAAATTCTAACCACACTGATTCCGTTGCAAATCTTGTCCTGATCAGCTTCGCTATTAACGTGATGCCCTTTTATACTTTTTGTCCATACACCAATACACGTTTCCTGCCAGTAGGGCTTTTTATTTTGGCCAGGGTTGGCTTTTGTACGATTTCTTTCGTCATCATCCGCCATATTCTTTGTGATCTCTCTGTGTTATCCTTCCAGGCCTTCTCTGATGTAATGTACGAAAAGCACTGGAACGTACCTTTAGTGTGTGCTGTCGTGTAAGCGTGCTTGTTTTTTCGCATTATTTGGAACTTACAAAACTAGCTGGCAATAAAATTTCAGACCCTATATACTTCATTTTCAGTTATTTTTGCAAACAATTCCCTTATCTTGACCTTTGAGTAAATACATTTTCCATAAAGCTAAAAAAGATCTCGCATTTATCTTGACCAAGGACATACAGTGTTGTCTTACATCAAGCAGTATACTAGTTTGAACGAGAAAGAAATATTCGTGTGAAATGATTTACGAGGGAAAGGTCGCTATTGCGTCCTGCATTTCTTACATTCTCTTAGTTTTGATCATATTTTATGATAGAAGACTCAAGGAAGTTTGGGACTTCGCAACACCATGCGTTATCTTTGGCCTGAGTTTATCTGTAACATTTTTTGTTCCACATAGTTCAGTAGTTAAGAGAGCAGCTGCAATTGGTAAGCTATAATTTATAGTTCTTTCGTCGTTATTGATGAAAGCATAATAGCGGTTAAAAATTCACGTTATCTTCCACAGTCAGGATAACCACAAGGAAAGGTACATGCTGCACACGACAAGAAAAAATCGACATTTCACGAAATTTTTCAGGGATAGGCACGTATTCTTCAGGGGTAGACCCATATTTCATGGAGGTCTTTAGGGGTGAATGCGACTTTATTGATAGCCTGTGAACAGGCTCTCGGTTCTTTTTGGGGAAAAAAATAGCGAAGGAAAAGGAAAGGGGGGGGTCCCTCTCCCCAGTTCCCCGCTCGACCAAAGGCCTGCTCACAGGCTACTTTATTGAATTCTTTTAATACTGGTAAGAAGTGGGGTATGGATAGCCCGATAGCCCACTGTCTGCAGTCTTGACTGTAGATCATAATATAAACTTATGATAACTGCATACATTATCTGCTAACATGTTCAAAACTCAAGTAAAACCCGAGGTGCAGGTCTGTCTTTGGGGTCTGTAGCACAGTAATGCAAAAGGAATCCCAGGCTGAAAGTTGAATTTTTAACTAGAGCTGGAAAATATCAAAATGATTCTGTGTGTGGCCATGGAGTTTATTTACTGGGATTACTGCAGAAGAGTGCACAAGTCTGACACAGACAGAAATATTTGGTGGGGTACTGGTACTCTTACTAAGATTATTTTTCAATAAAATTTTGCACATATATAATCTGTAAATTGTTACAACATTATAAGATACACTGTTTCAGCCTATGGGTATGAGTAAGTGAACGTGTTTGCCTCGTAGTTTTATAAAAGGCAATCATTATGCTGTATATACTAGACGTGATAATGGCGTAGCCATTCTGCCCAGTATGCTACCATTATTTTCTCCCGCTGGGTAAGAGGCAATTTAGCTGTCCTTACAGCTACGTGTAAAGCTAATTTACCCGTACCCGTACACAGAAATGGTGTATTTAAGGTCTCTATTTTGCTTTTTACAACCTGCAGGTGGTGTCTTTGGAGTTGCCATCCTGCTCATCCTTGGTAATTCAACCTTCAGGTTTTTTGGTTGGTACCTTGCTTCACTAGCATTCTTTCATATCTCTGAGTATGTCATGGTTGCTACTTATAGCCCGGACAAGTTATCTTTGGACTCATTTCTAATCAATCACAGTCCTGAATATCAGATTGCTGCTGTTGCAAGCTGGATTGAATTTCTTTTNCACTCTTGGCGTGAAACTGATCATGTTGCGAAAGATCAGTGAAGACTTCCACGCCGTGATTATTTAACCGGTGTAAACTTTCACGCCGTGAAATTAAGAGTGAACACATTTTCACGCCGTGAAACATGTCGGGGGTGAATGAAATCTAACCTTTTTTTTTGTTTTGTGTTTTTTCTCGCCCCTTTTCGAACTGGAAAAAAACGAGAATACCTGGTCACGTCAAGCTAAATTTGTGGAAGTTGATCCCACGCAAAAAATAGCTCATGACAAAAATATAAAAAAAGCGTATTCAGACTATTCCGTGTTCAGGCCTGTAAAGCCACAAATCACAATCAAACTAGTCACAATTTCTTGTCGATATTTTTATGTGTTCATGGCAAGTATTTTATTAGATATGCACGACCGGAACTGCGTGTGTTTCATGTCAATTTGCATTGTTTACATTGTCTGTTACTGCAACAGTCGGTCACCTTTGGCTCTTTTTTTTTCTTCTCCTCAACCTGCAAATTTTCCCAATGTCGATGTCAGAGACGATTAGTTAATAACCACACATGGCAAGGTTTTCACTCAAGAAACCTAACGAAATTCTTTGCGGAAACACTAACTATTACTGCCATTCCTAAAACCGGGATAATTGTTGTCTGTGTCGACGCGCATTGCAGTGAAGTGACTGATCTTATCTGCAGTTTTGTAGCCCCATCATCATCCATCACACGTGCAAACTCTACTTGATTTATCATGCTCCACTTCAAGTTCCTTGTCGCATTGCTAAATGTTATACTCAAAATTTCGCCGTTACAACGATCTGAACAGAAGGGTAAAAATGAAATAAATCCAAAAGATATCACGCAATATCAAAACATGCGTTACATATTTCTTCATCTGGTCGCCACCGAGTCTAGCATTTGCATAACTTCGTGGAAGAGATAAAAGCTTCTAAATTCTTTTAAATTTTAAACGATACTTTGGTTGTAAATTTAGAGAATACAAAGACGGAATCATGTAGTTGTTGATTATCTTCGGCAATCTTCGGTGTCTTTTTTTTAGCGATTTCATTTGTTTTGCCGAAAATCAAAAATCAAAAAGTACTGACCAGTACATGTTACATTCATCTGGGCAAATAAAGGCTTGCATGACATCTAAACAGTACACTTTTGAAAACAATGTTACATTAATTTTCATTTTGACTGTTGGAAGATTTTCACGGCGTGAAATTAAATTTCACGGTGACTGAAATTTTTCACGGCATAAAATATTTTCACGGCCATTATAAACTTTTTCACTGCGTGAAATTTTCACGGTAGTCGTGAATTTTTCACGGCGTGTTCACGGCGTGAAAGAGAAATTTCACTCACATTCCAAAAATTTTTCTTACTTTCACGGCCTGGATCGTGAAAATAGGCATAGCGTGAAATTTAGATAAGCCCCCAAGTCGCGTGAAGGGTCACATATATAATCTGTAAATTGTTACAACATTATTAGATACACTGTTTCAGCCTATGGGTATGAGTAAGTGAACGTGTTTGCCTCGTTTATAAAAGGCAATCATTACGCTGTATATACTAGACGTGATAATGGTGTAGCCATTCTGCCCAGTATGCTACCATTATTTTCTCCCGCTGGGTAAGAGGCAATTTACCTGTCCTTACAGCTACGTGTAAAGCTAATTTACCCGTACCCGTACACAGAAATGGTGTATTTAAGGTCTCTATTTTGCTTTTTACAACCTGCAGGTGGTGTCTTTGGAGTTGCCATCCTGCTCATCCTTGGTAATTCAACCTTCAGGTTTTTTGGTTGGTACCTTGCTTCACTAGCATTCTTTCATATCTCTGAGTATGTCATGGTTGCTACTTATAGCCCGGACAAGTTATCTTTGGACTCATTTCTAATCAATCACAGTCCTGAATATCAGATTGCTGCTGTTGCAAGCTGGATTGAATTTCTTTTAGAACTATGGCTTTTTCCCTGGATGAAGAATATTGTCATTTTAAACTTCATTGGGTTATTTTTGATGACTGGAGGAGAAGCACTGCGTAAGCTAGCCATGATAACAGCAGAATCTAACTTTACACATCTTATACAGACAAAAAAGGACAAGAATCATGTCTTAGTAACACATGGAATCTACGGTCTTTGCCGACACCCAGGATATGCTGGATGGTTCTGGTGGAGCGTAGGTAAGTTAACTTAAAACAAATGCTACTGAATTGAAAACAGGGGTAACATGACTGTACATTGTGCTAACACCTTGCAAAAACTTTTTTTTGAAAAAAAATGAAAAACTTTTAGCCTTAGAAAACAGCCAACATTTTGCATCACTGCTGCTAGTTTTTGATTCAGTTTGTTTAACCCTTTAAACCCTAGGATCAAAATTTGAATTCTCATATGTTGCGCCTATTCATTTCCTAAAAGAAGTAGTGAGGAGAAGCTGATAAAATATTAAGCCATTTCCTCTGGTGTAATCATGCCCGTAATTCTCATTACTACTCTGTTTTACAAAGCACTGATATTACAAGGAGAAATTTGATGCTCATCACTCTTAGGGCTTAAAGGGTTATAGGCTGTGAGGAGTCTCTCTTTTGCTAAAAAATCTGTAAGTGAGAGTATTTGAGTAGTGAAGTCACACAAGTTGCGAGGGCACGAGTGAAGGTATGAATATGTATTCACCCCTTTTTAACTCTTCCCTCACAACTCACCCGACTTCGCTACTCAAATACTCTTGCTTACAGATCTTTGAGCAAAAGAGAGACTGCTCAAAGTCTAAAAGGGTTTATAAGGACTTTAGTGTAGCCTGCATGGCAGACATTGGAAAGGTTTGAAGGGGAAGGGGATTTGGGTGTGAGACAGGACAAAAGGGAGAAGAGAGGAGAGTTCCTTACCCTCTCCTATTGCGCGCTGTTCATGCTTCATGTGCACCCTTCCCATTTCTTTTCCAATGCCTGCCACACTGTCATGCTAACTTCTGCCCCAAAGCATTCACTTTTCTTGGGGTCCTCACCCCAGAGTGAGAGGATATTAGGCACAAGGTTGTTTAAACTTATCTATAGTATTTAAATGTCTTCCTAGGTACCCAAGTCACTCTTGTTAATCCCATTTGCCTTGTGGCTTACATCTATGCTTCCTGGAAATTTTTTGATGATCGCATCCATGATGAAGAAATAACTCTTATTTATTTCTTTGGTGATGATTATTTGGATTATCAGAAAAAGGTTCCTGCTACTGGAGTGCCATATGTCAAAGGCTTTGAGATTGAGCCTGCGGTTATGGAAAGATCACCCGAAAACTGACTCTGCAAAGTTTTCAGATAGTGTGGACAGGGCATAGAGAAGTGAGCAGAAAAAACAATCTTAAACAAAATAGATGGAAAATTTAGATCCTCCTTCCTTTCCCTGAAATGAGGAATGGATAGCTGGTGTGTTTTGGTGTTTGCAGAGCTTCATCCTCTCTTGCGGAAGGATGTGGGTTGCATTTTGTTCTGTGCAAAATTGTAGTTGTTAAAAGATTGTGCTTTGAAACAACTAACCAGCATGTTGTAAAATTACTATGCATGTCTTCTCCGTAGCAGTTATCTTTTATGTAAGCATGCACATATCATGCTGAAAAATACTGCTGATAACAAACACAAAAAATGACCAATGAAAGTGTGAAGTACATAGTTTGCGAACAAAACAGACACAAAAAAGAAAGTAGGGATACTGCACTAAAGTGAGGGCGGATTAAATGTTTTTGTTTTGGAAAGTCTCTCTTAGCTGTCGATTTATCTTTCAAGTTCCAAGAGTAATCAACATCAGTTCTCCCCTAACAATATGAATGCATAATCGATAGAAAAGATTTTGATAATTTTATCATGGGTGACAAATTACTTCTTAATTTTGGCGCGAAATTTCAGCGTCAATCTACAGTTGCCATGGCAACATTCCGTACGTCTCTGTGATGGAATTTTAAAATTTTATGAACGAAGATGTCAGGGCATTCGTCAGGGCGGTCGATTTATCTTTCAAGTTCCAAGAGTAATCAACATCAGTTCTCCCCTAACAATATGAATGCATAATCGATAGAAAAGATTTTGATAATTTTATCATGGGAGACAAATTACTTCTTAATTTTGGCGCGAAATTTCAGCGTTAATTTGTAGTTGCCATGGCAACATTCCGTACGTCTCTGTGACGGAATTTTAAACTTTTATGAACGAAGATGTCAGGGCATTACAAGACCTTTGGAAAACCAAAACCATGCACAAAAGACCATGTGCATCAAGAAGGATTTTAACAGGGATTTTGTTAAGACGTCTTGAAAATTCTGACTTTAAGCCAGATGAGCTTTGTATCACGCCTTGGTTACCATTTTTTTTTAAAGATCATTGTTTTAATTGACGTACTTGTGTCATTTTGAGCTCCCACTCGGTGTTATACTTAATAGGCGGGAGTTGTGGGGACGCTTCGGTTGGTTAAAAAACACGTGTCAGTGGTTTTTTAATCATAATAAGAAATACAACAAATGATGACTCAGTAATACTAAACAGCGGATTTTATTTTTATGGCATCATTTTAAAAGCACATTACAGCATTACATTAAAGATTTTAAGATTTCAAGTCATTGGCTTTGGCTTCCTCTGAATTTTAAAATTGCACTGTTCCTCGTACAGTCACCAGTAGCAAGGAGCTTTGAATTACATGGATACTGAGTTCTATGTGAATCCAGATGTCGGCAAAATTCTCTTAGTCATGATGACGAGTAAAAAAAACTTTCAGCGAATAGTTTTGCAGTGCGGTCAGCAAAGACCGCCCAAGAAATCTCCATACCAGCTAGAAAACTGCACATTTCTACATAGAATTTTCAAAAATTTTGACAAATATCCCTTTCTTTTTGCTGAATGATACTGTACTTACTTCACTCGTACAGGCCCAATAGCAACCATCTATTAATCTTCTTCGTCAAAAACAACAAAGAAAGGTTTTTTTTTGTTAATTTACCTTTACTAACTTCAATTCTAATTTATAAAAAAAAGTGAATTCCCCTTTGCTTAAACAGCAAAAATTGCCTAATGAAGTTGAAATCTACTTATAATAAACTTACTTAAGTATTGCAATGCAAAACAAAGATGCGGGAAATATGCCTAGGAACGCTGTTCTATTTATTTTAGTACATTCTTCCCTTAAACAAGGACGTGTATACTGGCCTTCTATAATGGCGTATTTCCGAGGGGAATACCTTTGAACCATTAACTTAATAATTTGCAAGAATCCGTCGAGTTTTTTAACTCGGAAAATATAATCTTTTGGCGAATAGGAAGCTACCCTGTCCGTCTCATCAATACCGCGTACATTTTCTCCCACAGCGACTACGAATATCTTTACCCCAGATCTTTTAAGTGCCTGTGCTCTGGGTATGGTAAGATGCCCTCCCCTATTTGATTTGCCATCAGTGACAAGGAAAACCATTTTTCTTGCTTTAACACGGCGACCTTTATATTAGGAAGAGAAAATAATCGAGTTATATCATATAGTAGGTTCGAAAAACTCACATGGTATCTTCGCCGGCAATGACAGGAAAAATTCGAGCATATGGTTTATGGGAAGATGCACGTTACATGATAATCATGATCAGTCACACTTCTTTCGTCATGGACAAAATAGAGACCCGATACTGATTTGAGGGCGAGAACAAGTATGAGATTTAACTTAACGTTAGTGTAGCGCGTGTTCTCCATTTTCCTTTTTTTTCACCAAAAAGTTAGTATGGTTATTTATACTGAAGGAGGTTAAGGCCCTCTCCCGAAAGCAAAATGATAAAACTGCTTACTTTTGATACCTTGTTCCCGCCACTGAGACATTCTGGCAAAAACTAGTAGTAGAATGACGACGGTTATCACGTTTTTCACGCGTTAGGCACTGAACGAGCCAGGCTGAGCAGTTAGTAGTAATGGGAAACATGAGAAACTTAACGCTGTTAAATTTCCTATTATTATGACCACCACTGTTGCTTTTTTTTTTCTCTATACATGTGAGCGCATTTTAAGCTGATTGCCTATGATTTACTTTGGCAACCCAAATGCAGCTGGAGGTTATGTTGGCAGGAAATCGCATAGCCACCCGCGTCACAACTAAAGAGTAAATAAAGACGAAAACGAAAAGTGGAAACTGTTTCTGTATCCGTATTGTCTAAAGTATCAAGCTTAGATTAATTGTTTTTAATTGGCATGCCCACGAAACTGGAATATAGCCGAGCAAGAGCTAGAAGAGAAATAGAGAAAGTAGGCGGCGCGCCAGCGAAGCTCAACGATAAAAAGGGCGACAGAGATCTAGAGCGAGAGATGAAAAAACAAAGAAGGCTTTTTTGTTGGAAGAACGACATGAAAATTTTGTAATAGCGGCGGTGAAAACATGAGAAATGCTAGCGGCCACCAATGCAAGGTGAACATGAGCGGCAGTGAAAAAAAAGTGAACAAGAACGCGTGCGACATTTCCTTCAAAGAAGTTTCTGGAAGTTTCACCTTGTAGTCATGCAAAACAACGGCAATTAAAGAAATGTACAAAAAAAGTGTATTTGTGCAAAGTTGCCTTTTTGTTAATTAGACCTATTGTTGTTTTTCACCGTTGTTCGGCGTTGCCTTCGCCGCTTAGCATTACACGGTTTTATATTTTGTTTGAACAAACTTTAAATATTATTTAGCCCTGGCTAAATCTATATAATATGGGTTTTTATGTAAACGGTTTTCTCTCTATATATAACCGTTTACGTCAGAGACGTCACACACATTTTAAGTAAGGTAAGTTGTTTTTTTTATTTAAATCCTTTCATTTTCGTAGGTTACAGAAACGATAGGTTTTTCCCCATACAAATCATTATAATTCGAATGTTACGCAACAATGCCGATGCTCGCCGATGCTCATATTTCGAGCCTGGGCTACCTGTGATAACCCGTAATAAAGATGCTAATAATATTTTCTTTTTTTTTTACTATTCCGCTAGTCATAAATCAGCAGTCGATCAGTAAAGAACGGAAGTCACGGGGAAAAGATTAGTATAAGACACTTACGCAAATAGTAAAGGCTGTTTTGATTCCGCTGTAGGTTGGGGGAGCCCTGGCTGCTGTGAAATACAGCCAGGTAGCAAAACACAGTGGCAAATCGAGCCGCAAATCCTGACATCTTCAATTTTTTCCCGCGCTTCTCAAAGGGACTTCAAGTGTTTACTTCCAATATGTAAGTGATATCTAAGTTCTAAACAAGAGCCGTCTGTCTATTTATAGACAACGTATAACTTCCCGTGTATTGCTGTATGGACTTTAAGACGGGTGTTATTTTTCCTCGTATAAACGGCCCTCCGGGATCAGTCCTGTCGTCGATGCTTACACTCTATTCTTTTAAAAGGAATGTTATTTTTTCGGCCCAGGCCAAATATTCAGAATATTGATTTCTAGCTTTTCTTCCGTTTTTAGGCTAAAAATATTCTTCTACTATTCTAAAAACAGAAAGACTTTATCATTATATACACTGAATACATAAAAACAGGAAACGCAAGGCTCCATGCACTGTTTCAGCTGATTCACTGATTCGATTTCCACATTTTTGATCAAAACATTCGCAGTTTCAAGTAGATTTTATTCTAAACCAGAAATATTTGATAAGAAGTTGCAATTTTTCGCTACTTCTCTTTCACTTTTTACAAATAGTTCATTTTTTTGACATATTATTAACCGGAAAGTAAGCCTTCAAGAAATTAAAGAGTTCATGATCAATTCACGCTCGCGCGTTCTAGTCATTTTTTAACTTTTAAGACAATACATTGAAAATAAACTTCATAGAAGCACATCTGTGATCAGAGAACACGTCAGCACAGAATTAGATTGTAGGTGAATTTTTGTAATCATCGATCGTGATAAGCTAGCTCGTCTTACTTGTTTGTGGACTGAGTCTGCCCCCGAAAGAGAGAGCATACTGACTGTATATTTCAACTGTATTGGTACCTAATCTCTATATGTACGCGCGAGCTACCTAGGATGCCTCCTCGAGATTTTGCCTTCTGGGCCAGAAGCCAGGCGGCAATAGTATTTGTTATATTCCTAGACTTTCACTCAACTAAACACGGACTGCCGCATTGGTTGACTCTTGATCTCATGGTCTTGACTAAAATCAAATGACCAATCAAATGTATCCCGATCGTGATACATTGGAGCAGTTGTACCCCGCTCGGGATACATTACAGCACGTGATCAAAGCATGTTGGAAAGTGGCGCGATAGAAGGAGGGAAAACACTCTGCCAGTTTTTTTTTTTTTTTTTTTTCGTGAATGAACACAACAACACAAAAATGAAGCCTCAAACTAAAAACCAACGATTTTTAAAGTTATCCCAGAAGAGAAACAGCAGCTGTTGGAGGAAAACGATGCAGGTAATATAAGGAAAGTACTTTGTAAATCATTTGTTCAGTAGTTTTGAGAATTAAATTTGTTTTCTTGTAAGTACCAAGTCGACTGTTGTGATTCATTGCGGTTATTCTTTTGTTGCTGTTGACGTGAAAGACTAGAAATATAACAAAACACTTAATGTCTAGACTCTTTGGCTCGAAAATCTGTAAGCGAGAGTATTTGAGCAGCGAAGTCGCGCGAGTTGCGAAGGCACGCTTGTATTCGCGCCTTCGCATTTGAAACAGATCTGCCCATGAGGGAATCCGGAATACGCGAGATTTTCGCATGTGGAATCCGGAGTCTTGAAAAGGTTTGCTTGTGGAATCCGGAATACAGCTGTAGAAATCCCGAATCCTACTAACAATTGGAATGGGCGGAATCCTGAAAAAGATCTGGAATCCAGTAACTGGAATCCGGAATCCACGACGTGGAATCCAGAGTCCACGGCAGTCTTGGATTCCTTACATCATGTACATGGGGCGAAACAGAGTTGAGGACTACATGTAAAACAATGCATATACTTTTATTCATTTCACGCATTGCGTAATTTTCGCCTTATTTGTTCTAATTCCGACAAACAGCAGAAGGAAGCCGAGAACGAACAAGTATACATGTCCTAGTTTCAGTTTTACCACCTACGAGATATTTTTAGTGTCCGTGGTTTGTATATTTTTTTCACATTTTGTTACTGGCCAATTTTGAGGGGTAAAACATCGTTTATATATTAAAAAATATTTTGAAATTTTGAAATTTTAAAATTTATATATTAAAATTCATTGTTTGTTCCATAAGTAGCTCATAATGTGTAACAAGAGAGAATGTGTGTGATCGAAACCCCCTGAACACAGACGAAAGTTTGATTTAAAAACGATTACATACTTTTTTACTTACAGATTTTCGGTCACCACTATAAAATGAAATCCATCATTCGTGATACTGAACTAAAAAGCACCTTTTTTCCGGCAGTCCCAGAAGCCTGCGTATCAGGCAGTTGGAAGTGTCCCTAGAATTAGCAAGCGCATTAAAAAACGGGGCGCGCCATGGGGTTGCGCCCATTACTTCCAGGGACACTTTCAAACGCCTGCTACGCAGACTATACCAACCGCTGTTTGGCCATTTTCAACCTGATCAACTGACAGTTATTAGTATCCTGATTCATTAATGAACAGCACTTGTAATACAACACTTATCCCACTTAAAACTGGGAGAAAACAGACCCGTCTTAAAAGCCGTGGCTTAACATTAGACGTCAGTTCAATGTTACGGACAATATTTCGCCCGAGTCAAGCTTTCTTGTAAATGAAAAGTCAAAGTCAGAGATGTCATTTCTCTGTGTCTTCTGTGTGAAATGTTTTCCTTGGTTATCACCTTTTGGCGCGCAATTTTCCTCCACACGCACGTTACATTTCTGTCAGCATCTCTTGGTTTCAGTGACTAACTGTTACTCAGAGTTGCCCTTGTTCCATAGTATCCGATCGCGACCTTGAAAAATGGGACATGAAAAAAAGAAGTTACCTTCATAATAGATACTCTTTACATCTTTCTAAAAGAGACCGGGCGTTCTCTGCTCCAGGTATAAGCACCATTTTGAGCTGTACATTTTAATTTTATTTCAATAGCTATTTTAGGGCCTGTTTACATGGAGGTGTCATGGACCTCAGGAAGGTGAGGTAACCCGCTTAGGTGGGGTAACCCGCCTGTCCATAAAATCTCTTATTTTAGTTTGATCACGTTTGCAGGGGTGACGCGCTACATCTGTCTGGAGTCCCCCACCTCCAAGTAAACAGGCCTCTAGGAAAACCAAATGTCATTCAAGTCAGTGGAGTACTTGTACGTTACAGGCGTTTTGAGACTGAAGTGTGATACATACTAAAGTAAGCGTTTTTGAAATTAGTCCATGAACGCCCACCACCTCAAGAGGCCAGTGGGCCGGCCATCCCATTCTCTTTTTCTTCTCTAAAGTCATTTATACGAGTGGAACCGAAGCAAATTTCAAGCATGTGATTATTTTATCACTTTTAAAAAGTATAGAAGACAGCATTGCTTTTTAAATGTGCACCACGTTCGTGAAAAGACCAGTCTNCTAGGAAAACCAAATGTCATTCAAGTCAGTGGAGTACTTGTACGTTACAGGCGTTTTGAGACTGAAGTGTGATACATACTAAAGTAAGCGTTTTTGAAATTAGTCCATGAACGCCCACCACCTCAAGAGGCCAGTGGGCCGGCCATCCCATTCTCTTTTTCTTCTCTAAAGTCATTTATACGAGTGGAACCGAAGCAAATTTCAAGCATGTGATTATTTTATCACTTTTAAAAAGTATAGAAGACAGCATTGCTTTTTAAATGTGCACCACGTTCGTGAAAAGACCAGTCTACAAATCGCAAAAACAGACATTTCATAAGCTTCTGTTTAAAGGTCTTGTATCGGCATCGCACTTCCAAGGTAAAAAAAAAACTGATGAAGATCGACTTGAGGTCAGGAAAGAAATATTTTCTAATGGAAATTTAAACATGCTGGCGATTA